TTGAATAAAAGCACTAAATTTAGTGCGAAATGCACCAAGTTGTCAACAGTGCCTGCCTGGCTTTTGCAAATAACGGTTATTTTCACCCCAACAGCAGAGTCATTAGCGGGGGACAGACTCCATCGCCAAGTACCGTCATTCACCTCGAATGCTGAATTTCTCGCCACAAGCCACATATGTATATGCGAGATTCTTCGACGTCGTGCTTGACGGTTTCAATGCCAGGTCGAGCATGTTAGCGCCCTTTGGTCCCACCATCGGAAAAGCAGATATGCAGCCGACTCTGAGCAGCAAAATATGCGCACGCCATCGAAAAATTAGTTGGATTTCAGCGAGACCGAAAAAAACTGGGACTAGGAGAAAAATTGGTGTTACTTGCCTCGAGACGACCAGAGGACTTTATTAAACTCGGTCAATATCGCTTAATCTACAATAGGGATGCGCAGCAGGGCTGCACGCAGTCAACGTCGCGGGCAACTGCGAGCAGTGTTGCCAGAGCTTTTTGGGCCGAAATGTTTCAACCAACTGTCAACTGTCGTTATACGTAGAAGTCATATTTGTATTATTTAAATACAAAATAAGTAAAACGAAAAAAAACTTTTTAATATACCACGCTTTTATAAATGGACTAATAAGTAGAAAATAATATTTCTCAGCCCCATAGAATTTGTTTTGATAAATTCTGATTTTGAAATTTTAGCAAAAGTGATTATAAACAATTTATGAGATCGAAAATGAAAAACGTGGAGTGGATGCAATATAAAGCATTAGATTTAATTGACAAAAGTCAAACTACATAACATAGACCTAAAATTTGAAAAGGGAAAGTACAAATTCGAGATCGATTTTAAGCGGTCGTTATTCATATACCCACAAATTTACATATATTTGTCTGACCTGAATTGGTGGTCTATTACATGCGCCCCACGCTTTTCTAGAGATAGAGTTTTGTTGCATGGGCATTTGACAGCATACTATTCGGGATGCTAACGATACATAGATGCATCGGCAAAAACGTCGAATTTCTATCGATGTTTTCAACGCTTAAATATGGATGCATCGATGTTATTTGTTGGGAATTAATTTTTAACGCTATAAAATTACTGATGAGCAATTAAGTGCAAGAATTATTTTTAAGAGCTAATTTTCAAATCAAATATTTAAACTGTATAACTTGTACACAGATAGAGACTAACTGAATTTATGGTCTGAAATATACCAAGTTGTTTCGGGGTTGCAAAAGCAAAAAGAGAATTATCCTCCTCAAACGTTATTTGTGCTCCTCAAAAATATTGTCCTTCTCTCTCCTCCTCTTAAGCAAAAATGTCCTCCTTTTCAAGTTTTATCATGAACCAACGACTACAGATCACCTAATCAGTCATCGTGGTATTTGTAATCGATTTTCAGAAAAAAGTTTTCGAGGGTTTTTGACGTTTTTCGGTTTTGTTTACACCGTCTTCTACGTCTTCGTAGTGATTTTTTAGCGATTGAATGTGTTTTCTGCAGCGATTTTAGTTATAACCCTGTAGGGAAAACACGAACTAGTGAACCAAATTTCTAGTTCAGTACTAGTTATTTTTTGCCAAAAACGTACCAGTCCGATAGTAACTAGTTCCGCACCAGTCCAAAAGCAGTGAAATGTGGTACTTTCACTAAACTATTCTATTTTAAATTCTAATAGCAGGGAAGGTAATCATTATGAGTAAAATAATTTAAATCAGCATTTAATCATTATTTTATGAATTATTATTGAGTTTTATTTTTTCGCTCAAACGGAAATAATTATTATTTGATTTTTATTTTTGGGATTACAAATAATGATTATTTTATAATTTTTATTTTTTCGCGCAGAGATTATCATTAATTTTCAGTTTTATTTTGCCACTTAAAAATAATGATAATTTATAAAATTGAAAAGGCCATAAAGACGCAACCTACTGAGATTTTTACCTGAAAAGTTTGGGTCTTATTCCTTTTATAAGGGTGCGGCTACCTCTCAAAAGGATACGTCGGTTATCACGCTGGTATAGTTTTTGAGTTGCTTAATAATCATTATACTTAGTGATTCCATAAACAAAGGCCAAGATCCTGAAGGACAATTCAGAAAGGCAAAGCAGTTGCAGAAAAAGAGGCATTTAAAAAAAAAGTGTAAAAATAATTACCACTTTCTCACTAAATTTATTTAAAAATGCAAGCCACCAGAGCTACCTTTTTTTTAAGAAAAGACAAATTAAGTTTTTTATGCAATCCACCACAGCTACCTTAATACAGTCAGTCAATAAAGTTTAGGTACAACGAATTTTTTACAATACGGGCAACTATTTTTTTAATATTTTAGTTTTCGGTAATTTTTTATAAAAATATGGTCAATTCTACAACAAAATCCCCAAAAATCAGAGTTCCAAACCTTGTGCAAAATTTAAGAAAATTCTGCAAAATTTCATTAAAAAAATTTACTTTCTATTTACGCTCTCTAGAAAAAGTTTTTTAGCCCATTCAATTTTAGTATAATGAAGTGCAAGTGTGAGGAAGCTAGGACTTACCAAACAACAAAAAAAAAATTGCTAAATATCAATGGTAAGTCCTAGCTATCTCAAACTTGCACTTTGTTATACTAAAATTGAATGGGCTAATAACTGAGTACTTAACTTTTTTCTAAAGAGTGTAAATTGCAATACTTGGATGGAAATTTGCAGTTTTCTTTGATTTTGCATAAGGTTTGGAACTCTGATTTTTGGGGTTTTTGGTGTAGAATTAACCATATTTTTATAAAAAATTAGGGAAAAATAAAATATTTAAAAAATAGTTGCCGGTATTGTAAAAACTTCACTGTTCCTAAACTTTATTGACTGACTGTATATCTTATTTAAGTTAAGTACGACAAAAACTTTCGAAGTGCTTCATATACATATAAGCTTAAAAAGAACTGAATTTACTTAAAAATCAATGTGCTTAAATTTAGACAAGTAAGACAAAGTGAACTAATATTTTTACTTTTAAGCAGAACGCACTTTTGTTTTTTTACTTACTACTTAAGTTTAATACTACTACTACTACAAATGTGGTTTATAAATTTTTAATAAATGCGTTTAAACATTTGGGGTTGTATAGTCCTTCCTTCAACCGATCGTATTTAATATAGAAGGGAAATGTTTCGACAAGCCTGATTAGAAATGTTGATCTAAGGTGACGAATTTATAATAGGTTGGGAACTATAAAAAATGGATGCAGATCGAACTAGTTCTCATCTGTCGAATTAGGAACTGGTTTGGAACTAAAGAAAAGGGGATGCAGAACGAACTAGATCTTATCTGTCGAATGTAGAACTGGTTCGGAACTAGAGCCAAAGGGATGCAACGGGGGACAATTGACACTTCCTAGGACATCGCAATGTTAAATTCGCCAGTCGCTAGCATGCAAAAGAGAATTAACGCGTACTAGTCATGGTTCCAAACGCACTAGAACCGAACCAGTTCCGCACTAGTTCGTTTCCCTACAGGGAAATTTTGGTTAAGTACATATTTATGGTATAAAATGAAGTGTTGTGTGATTGGAACAAGTTTGTGTGTATGTTTGGTTTGCCAAAAGGCGTAAATTTGTGTGAAAAGTGGGTGCACGTTTGTGGCCAGAAAGTTGTCATTGAAAAATTGGTACCCGTGGTAATGATATGCGATTGTAAAACACTTTCAATCATGAAAACGATATTCTCGTTTTCTTTGTTTGTTTTCATTCTTAGGCAGATGTCAAACGCTTGCTTCTTTGATTAGGTGATCTTGTATTTTTTGTTCATGAAGTTTTATAGCAGTGATGAAATTTTCAAAAAAATTCGTTCAGAATATTATTATTTCCTAATCGTACAACAACCATTGTATTTAAAAGGAGTTTACATTGTTCAACATTCAGTTAAATGATGTAAACTTTTGATTCAACTAATCGCCTGTGAAAGTTAAACAGTGTAATACGGATTTCCCACGGCCCCCCAATTACGTAGTTTGCTCTCTCATTCGTAATTCTAACCAGTAGTGCGATTCACTACGCTACTTTAACGTTTTCGCATCGTTAAGTTAGCTAAAAGTAAATTTTATCGATTTTGCTATTCATTAAAAGTTTCGCTAACGAAATTCGTGTTGACAAAATCAGCTGTTATCGTTAACGTTTCGATTGTGGCTAAGTTCTCGACAAAAAATTTTGTGTCGTTAACATAATCGAAATTTCAAGTTTTTAGTTGCGCATTCTTTTAAAAATGGCTTTCGAGTATTTAGGATACACCCTATTTCGGAGCGAGCGGGAATCTAGTCCTCCAACAGTGGATCGACGTGTGTTGAGAAATGTGGATAACCTATTTCATTTAGGACCAACGGAGTTCAAGAAATTGTATCGGTTAAGTCTAAACTTGGCAGATGACCTAGTTTGGCAGCTTGATGGGCATCTAAGAGGCTCAAGAGTAACCGCAATAAAGACGGAAAAACAGGTATCTAACTT